GCCCGCTGAGTCCCCAGTAACGGATGGGCATCGTTCCGGAGAGCTAATAGCTGGCTGCCGTAAAAGAGAGTCACATTATGCCTAACAAGTGAGATCGTGATTGGAGGGGATGCTAAGCAGGAGGGGGATGGACAAAGGAACTCACAACGCAAACGCCATTGGGGCCGGCTACTAGCCATATCAGCAAGTGTGTCCAACCAAACGTGTTCATCGTCCTTAGGACCCCAGCCAGGCAGTCGGGATGCACCAACCGACGCCAACTTCGAAGTGAGGGTTTTCATTTCGTTCGACCAAGTCATCACTTGGCCTCCTCTCCTCCTCTTCCAACCGTACCCACAACGCGCAAACAATGCACGTAGCGGGAGTCGGTGTGCTGGCATGCGCAACACGTGGCCCAGCCATCGGAGCCTGGTGCGTGATATAATGGTGCTGAGCAGTTCACTCGCTCTTTCTGCACCAAATACGCGACGTCGAACACGCTCATTGCTCACGCGTTGTTCCCACCAGATATGAGCTAAGCTGCGATGGCAGCGATGATCGAATGTGACGAGCCTCTTCATGTCTGTCGATCTGATGGGTCAGGTTTCACAGCCATATGGGAGAGTTGAACGGACGGCGGAGAGTTGTGGGCTCAAACGCCCACAATCCAGCGTAGCCTCCTTTACTGATTGGTTCTTATAAGCCCGTTTTAAGCCACAGTGTATTGAGAGGAGTTCATTTCCACGCGTGCCTTGGAGCCATACTTGGTTGCTTTGGATTGCGTTTGTTGTTGTTGTTGCTCCTGCTTTTATTGTGGTTGATACGCCTGCGCCGGAAGCACAGATTATTGAGGTATTGTGCCTTTGTTGTTTTTAATTGTTTGCAAACGGTTATGTATTCCTGTGTCGGCCTTGTTGTTGTTGTTGTTGTTGTTGTTGTTTCCGGTGAAAACGAGTTCGCTTAAAGCTTCCAAGTGGTGTGACGCTTACACCAGTGGTTGAAGTCTTTCAAACGTGGCGCAATCACAAAGTCAGTGGAGTTCCTGCATTCTGATTCTTGCGTCTAGTTTTTGATTTTTGTTCCGTTTTGATTTGTCTAACACACCTCATTTTTCCTTCAATTTTCTTTACATTCTATTTGCATTCAACCACATTATCTTGTCGTTGTTATTTGTTGTTATTCTTACAATGTGCGTCGTGGCAACTAGATCCGCCGCACTTCGGTGCTCAGATCAGATTTGTTCAACTGAGCTGGGTTTAGACGTTACTAGGAGCAGGTATGCTTTTATCTAGTAAATCTGATTACCAGCCTGGCCATTTGGTCTCCATACGGTCTCTAGAACTCCTCCATGCTTGCCAACACACTCCCACTGAAACTGAACATTACAAGACTTGCAACTACCTCAAGACAAAACTGCGTGCTAGTCTGAAGAGAAACCGCGGGTCCTAGTAGAAAAAAAGGCATCAGCAGTACGCCGGTACGCAGTACCGAAGCTTCGCTGTGGTGTAACCACCACTGGTCGCACGGGAACTACGGATACTGCTGTGGTCGCTCTGCCCCTACACAGACTCGAACCCGCGCCGCAAAATTAAATGACAAGCTAGTTACCTCTAGGCTATGGGCAGGCGAATCCTAGTGGCCTCTCGCAGATGAAAATGACTCCTACCCTTGATAGCCATCGAAAGTTATTCAGTAAAAGGGGAATCGGACATCAGAAAACCTGGTGTTAACAAGATTCTATGCAACAAGAATGTACAACCAATTTACAGTTTATCAAAACGTTTGGAGCGTTAGGCCAAAAACTTAGAAAATCCGTTTAATCGGCCAGTTACCAGTTTCTTTATTGGTGCCTTTCCTGCACTTTCGGAACAATACATGAAGTGAGGAACCGTCTAGGAAAAGCTCGGGGCATTTTTGCTAATCTTCGCGACATTCAGTGCCGGCGTGACATCCCTCTCGCTCTGAAGAGAAGGGTTTACAATGCAACCGTTCGTTCAACCCCTCTGTACGGTTGCCAAACCTGGCTCACTAGGTCGATAGACCTAAAGATGCTTATTACTTTCGACCATCGCTGCCTTTACAGTTTAGCTCATGTCTGGCGGGGACACTGTGTGTGCAATGAGCGTGTTCGGCGTCATGTATTTGGTGCAGGAAAAGCGAGTCAATCTCACAGCACCGTTATATTACGCATCAGGCTCCGATGGCTGGACCACGTGTTGCGCATGCCAGCACACCGACTCCCGCTTCGTGCGTTGTTTGAGAGCCCAGGGTATGGATAGAAGGAGAGTAATGAAAACCCTCACTGCGAAGTTGGCGTCGGTTAGTGTCTCACGACTGACAGGCTCGGGTCCGAAGGACGATGAACACGTTTGATTTGACACACTAGTTGGCATGGCGAAGAGCCGAGCTCAGTGACGTTTGTGTTTTGCGTTTCTTTGTCGCTCTTCTGCAGCCATAATCACATTACCAATGCATAATAGGATATTTAGCATTATATTACCGTCATACTTTTTGTATTCCATAATATTTAATCTTATTGCGACACTTCAACTGAGATGTGTTTCTCACCCTCGGCTATCATGTATTGACGATGATGATTTCTTCTTTTATAGACCTATCAGCTATCTACATATTGACGTTCTCATGTTAAAGCTATTTTCTCGAGTGTTTCTACTGTAATATGAGAAATGTGAGGAATGCTGTCACTCCCTCACTCATTTGATCATCTGTAAGCTTCATTCCAAAATCTGGATCGTTGTCCTCGGTTGACGAACTCCTAAAATCTGCTACGTTTTTTTAACTAAAATCCATGCATTGACTATCAGAGGCCGCTGCCCTCTGTAGCAATACTCGCAAGCTCTTTCAGTACATCCGGTCCAATGGATACAAGATGCTTGCTGTCATTAAGACCATTTGCTTTGCGGATGGTTCGCCGATTGTAAACCTACAGAGACGCTTGGATCGATGGGCCGAACATTTTCAGTCCCAGTTTAATTGGCCCTCACCGTCAATCTGTATACTCTGCGAACCCAGTTGCCCGCCCTGGGTCGTCATACTTAATCTACCTAGCGAAGCGGAAATTTGCGTCGCGATTCGACACTTGAAACGCTTCTAGGCCGCCGGCTCGGACGGACTTCATCCGGAGCTATTTAAGTCTGGAGGCGCAGTTATAACCAGCCGGCAAACCTTGTTCTCGAAAATCAGGACTGCAGAAAAGGTACCTTCTTTTTGGTGCGAATCAGTTGTTATCCCGATTTTAAGAATGGTACTTACACTATGCACCAATCACCGTGGGATTATAATCATCCGGTTACCTCCAAGCTATTGGCATTCGTTATACTCCGTAGACTATCCCCGATTCGTGAATCGCAGTACCGTGAAGAACAAGCTGGCCTCCGTCTTTTCCGTGGATGTGTGAATCAAATATTCACGCTCTGGCAAATTTTCGAAGACCGTCACTTTTACCATCGTTACATTCCTTTGACATGCATGCTGCATTCGACCTGATTTCTCGACCTGCGCTTGGTGAAGAATTGGGTCCCAGAAAAGTACACTGCCGTCCTACACACACTCCCTCCACGTCTTCGGCAGAGTGAGGGTCTATGCAAGCTCTCTTCGTTCTTCGCTGATATTGGCGGTGTATGACAGAGCTTCCTTATCTCCCTGTTCCTCTTCAATTTTGTGATTGTAGACATCTTGTCGAGAACTCTGGAAGGTTACCAACATTTGGGTCTGCAGCTACTACCTGGCAAGCGAGAGACTGACTTAGATTATACCCATGACATCGTCTTACTTGTTGACGACTCACAGAGCATGAAAACCATTCTTAACCGTTTGGCGATTGAGGCATATAGGTATGGAATGTGTTTCTCCCTGTCTGAAGTACTGCTCCAGGATTGGCACTCGCCTGCTTCCGTGCTCACTGTTGAAGGCACCCAACTTGAACAGGTGGATAGCTTTGTCCACCTAGACGGCTGTATGTCTGCTTGCGGTACTATTGAAAAGGAAGTTTTGCTCCACATCGCCCGAGCTCGGTTGGCGTTTGTCACTTGTGGCCTCGTCGGGATCTCTTTTGGTAAAAGGTCGTGTATATAACGCCACCGTTCGAGCGATGTTGCTATATGGAAGTGAGTTGTTGCCAGATTGTGTGGATGACATGCGCCTCTTCTTGGCCCTCGACAATGTGCGCTTGAGGAGGATTGCTAGTCTGTGATGGCAACAACGTATCTGCAATGGTGAAGTCATACCTCGTGTCTTAGAAAATGCGGGTATTCCTTTCAACAAGCTAGTTTTGCTCCTTCAGTTAAGATGATGAGGTCACGTCTTGCGTATGTCAGCTGAGCGTTTGCCCCATTGTGCACTTTTCACTCATGCAGGACTTAACTGATAGATATAATGCAGTGATCAGACGTCCACCTGGCGGCAGCATCTGAAATCGTTGACATCGCGCCTTGCTGCAGTTGGCTCCGCACGCCTGCCTGGTTGTGAACCAAAGGACGGAGAGTACCGATAACTGGAAACAATCAAGGGTATGGCACGCAATCGGAACCATGGAATATATGTGTGTATACTTGTTTAGATTCAGGTGCTTAATACTTAACGAGTGGAAAAATGCAAAATAACAAAAACATGGCGTTTGCAAAATACTAAACAATGTTCCGTCTTTTTTGCAGCACAATAGGTGGTGTGTATTGCTCATCTTCATGTAACGTGCCACGGTGATGATGTGATGATTCAACCTGTCTTCTTCCGTTAATTTCCATGGTTTTGTTTGGCTCTGCCTGTTAGTTTGTTGCCAATACACACCTTCATCGGGTATGCCAGCTGGCCTTGTCTTTGGATGTTGATGTCATCGATTTCGTCATTCATTCTTGCTGAGTAACACCAACCGAATGACTTGACTTATCACGTATGTTGGTCCGTGCGTTGATGTTTATTGCTGTTGGATTCATATCCTTTCCTGATACAACCTTAATACTTTTGCTCTCGATCTTAAATCAGTATCATGGCAATCCTTTCAGAATGGAACACTAGGGACGATTGACGTTAATGAACTCCCAGGGAGCAGTTGTCCAACGTTGCGGTATAAAGAAGGCTCCGCCTACACTAGTCATTATCTACCACCTAGGACTGAAGACACGCAAGAGGACAATACCTGTTTATGAACTCGAAAATCATAGCGTTACAGATATAGTGAGCAGATTGCGGCATACTGGAGGCCGACATGAACTGCTTCTGAAACAGCTGCCCAGCTCCCAGCTTTTCCGTTTGATTACAATTTTGAAAGACATTGTGCAGGGAATCCCCTTGGGTGAAAGTCTTCAGCGAATTGAGTGTCCAATAAATTTCCCCCCTGAGGAAGATTTGAACCGCGTAGATCCAGAGACACTTTCAAAGTAAGTTCTCATCGACCACTTTCCCTATTTGACCAGCTCATCTGTGAAGTGCTGTATTTGCACAATTTGAATGATTATCTGAGTCATCTGGGGATAGTTTGAAAATAATTGTATTAGGAATTATAGTTTCAACCATATTGTTCGGGTCAACAGCTGAGCGCGAACCTCACATGCAAGTACAAGAGTCGGGTCGTTCAACAAGGATGAGCTCAAACGCCCATTGATCCATGGCTATGCTTGATATGGTATATTCTTGTGCTCTGCTGTTTTAGGCATGCATTTGATCCGACCATGCTTGATGTTGCTTATCCCCTTTTACTGATATCACTATTGGTATCGTACTATATAATGCTCGATAGCGCGCCGTATAGCACTCGGGATTTGGCCATGATCAATATTTGCGATTGACTGGGTGACCGGCTTGGAATGACAAACACACAACTCAATGTAGTACCTGATTGGTCTCATTGTCCAAGTGACTATTATCGATCGATATTGAAACGCTATGTGCGGTTGCTATGCTTGTCTACTACAGTTAATTTTCAGAACCAAACTGAAAATTTGTCTGTATTCTTTCGGCTCCTCTTTATCTAACTTTTTTGACATTAATACATTTGTGCGTCCTCTACGCCGTAATTGGAAAATAGAGGTTTGAAAAGCTAAAGATGCCATGTTTCTCGACATTGATTGCAAACAGTTTGGAGCAACAGCTTGTTCGAACAAACTGTTCGTTAGCATGTTGAAGCGTATATTAAATGCTCCGACTACGTCCTGCATCTAAAGTAAGGACCTCAAAATATTTATGAACAAAAAGATGACGTGCGGATTATTCGTCACTTTGCTCCTCTGTCAACATTCTGTACGAGGATGAATCAAAAAATAACGCCATCTTCTTTAGGACATGTATACTTATCAACACATGAACAAGTATCATCCATCGAAATGAAGCTGGATCACATCTCTACTTCTCAACATAGTCACCGTTTCTCTCAATAGCAATGTTCCACCTTCGAATGAGAGCATATATCCCTGCCTCGTAAAATTCCATTGAGCCACTTTTTCACTGCAGTTTTCACTTCTTCGTCACTGGAACAATATTTGCCTCTCAAATATACTTTTATGAGGTCAAAGAGATGATAGTCTATCCGAATGAGGCGATCATCCTCATTGTCCTGATGATTGTATGTGGACGAGCACTGTCGTGCAGAAGAAGGACCTTTCCATTTGACAAGTTAGGTCTCATTCGTCGGGTACTTGCTGTGAGACATGTCAGGGTCTCAATGTAAACCTCAGAGATTACTGTTCCTCCTCTTGGCAAATAATTAACCAGAACGACACGTTCAGCATCCCAAAAGACAGCTGAATTTTGCGACTTAAACTTTTCCGGTCGCGGTGAAAGAGCGGCGCCATTCCATTGACTGCCTCTTTGATTCCGGTTCATAATAATGAACCCATGTTTCATCATCTATTACGTGCCTTCGAAAGAATACGTTGTCTCTTTGTCTGAGTCCGAATAGTTAAGTGCAGGCATCGACCCTGTCCGTCTTCTGTTCGGTATCCAACGGGCATACACTTTTGAGAAGTGATTTTTTACCCAGAGAAGAAGCAATAAACTCTGAGGTCTACCTTGAGACCCTGATGATTCCCAGAGCAAGAATCCTACGAGTGAAACCCAACTGGTACGAACGCTAACCGATCGGGCATATAAAATCTGCAGCGAAGATACTATAAAAGCCGAACTCGCGCGAATCAAAGAGGCGCTTCTCAAAAATGGATATCCGGAGCGATTTATCGGGACCCATATGAAGCGATGCATACCAAAAGTATCAAAACAAACCGTTGAAAAGAAACAGCTTTACTTGACACTTCCATTCAAAGGAAATAGTGCGGCTGAGACATGCACACGCCGACTACAGCAAAGCTGCAAAAAGACCTTTAATGCGGCTCAGCTGAATGTGCTTTTCACGAGCAGACCTTTACTGGTTCCGAGATTCAAAGACCGAGTGCCTGATCATCTCCAATCGATGTTAATCTACCGATTCACCTGCCCGTGCGGGGCCAGGTACGTTGGACGGACGACCAGGCATCTGGGTAAGAGTAGTAAGGAACACCTGCCAGGTTGGCTCTACAAGCGGGAGAATAGAACAAACTACAGTGCGATTACAAACCATCTAATAAACACAGGTCACCAGATAGACAAACGAACAGCCTTTCAAATTCTCTACGAAATACCATCAAGACAAAATCATCGTCTAAGAGCAAGCATACTCGCCACCGCTGAGGCAATATGCATACGTCTAACAAATCCGGACTTGTGTGTTCAGAAGAAACTAATACAAACACTACAACTTCCCTGGCCGACCACCAGCCGTGAAGGGAGCAATGGTACTCCGCAAATTCACCTGACCTCAGTCACGTGATCAGATGAGAGTCATCATGATCACAAGTTAAATTTTCGGATCAATTGTTTCTTTGTTACACTAACGATTGCAACAGACGTTAACATAATGTATATTACTGTATGAGCCTGATGAAGAAGTAATCGAAAACAATTGTTTGCTCAAAGCTTCGTGTTTTGCTTATCTTTCGAAAATTGAAAAGGTCCTTCTTCTGCACAACAATGCTCGACCACACAAGCATCAGGACAATGGAAACAATCGCCTCATTCGGATGAACAACTTTACCACATAATCCATGCTCACCAGATTCAGTGCCTTTAGTATGTCATCTGCTTAGGGATGTGAATGAGGGTTTGGGAGGCAAATATTGTTCCAGTGATGAGGAAGTGAAAACTGCGGTAAAAATGTGGCTCAACGAATAGTCAACGAAATTTTATGAGGCAGGGATACACGCTCTCATTCGAAGGTGGAATACTACTATTGAGAGAAACGGTGACTATGTTGAGAAGTAAGGATGTGATCCAGCTTAATTTCGATGAATGATATTTGTTCATGTGTTGATAACTATACCTGTCCTAAAAAAGACGACGTTACTTTTTATCCTCGTATATACCCAGCAATATCCTGAACTATTTGAACGCAAGTTTCCTGGGTCCTGGATCCTTTCGGAATCTTGAACGCTGCTCTCGGATTGACACTCGCCTGCCTCTTCAGTCTAGGCAAATAGCTAGTTTCTCCCCCACTAAGAAACCATGGAAATGAACTGAACTCTCGTTCTGTTGTTGGCTTTCTCTCTTACCACTACATTTACCTTCCAAGTACACATCATCCACTTGTCTACTCTTCCACGGTTACGTGAGTCGGCTACTTATTGGTGCAGCAGGCCTGTACGATGCGGTGCGCGTCCCTAGCTTACGGATCAGTATATACCTTTGTGGGGGGGAGGGTTGGTAACTGGATAGTTACTGTCCCTTCACAAACATTCTAAATAAGCTATCGCGGACACTCAACAGCAACGTTTTCAAGCAATATGAATTTCTTGTCTGGCCACTTGTTTCCCTTTTTAACTGTCACAGGAGCTCGTACGGTGCTGTGTCAAAACCAATGTGACCGACCACTAAATCACTGACTACTCACTCCTGCAACCAAAAATGCATGTCGAAGTATAGCCGAACAACATCGATGGACGCCGGCTTCTTTGTGAACTGTCTTTCGAACACTAAGGGTTGCACATGTTCCCTGACCTCCGAGCACTTTGGACGCTCTTAGTTCTTTGCTTGTGATATATGCTAATTGCCCCCCCCCCCAAGTCTGTATGGTCCAAGGATCCGCGTGCATTCTCCCAAATCAACCACTTTCTTCTGCCTGAGCAACCGGGAAACTTCATACCCACAAATCTTTTGAAACCGTACCTGAACGAGTTTCTGCTTACCGTCTTTGCTCTCTGGAAACGCTATCCTTAGCCGACACGCGTTCGGCTGGTTCCATAAAACCATGATTTACTGCACCACTTACCACATGCTTTATTCCGCATCTCGTCAGTCTGCTGTCCTTGATAACATTTCTACTTTTCCGAGCTTCCAACACCATATCGCTTTAGGATAGAGGTATCGCCGCGCGCATCAGGCTTTCGACCCATGAGTTCGCCTCCTGGTTGTATTAACACTTTTTAATCCCCCACTCCATATTCAAAAATTGTTCGGGCGCCTATGCTGATTGGATCACAGGTGGCTTTCGTTCACACTCTGGAAACCAATGTTACTGATTTTTGCCGTCTTGACGAGATTTGTTTATAGCATGACGTTAAGACTAGTTTCATCGTCTTCGAGATCCGCTAGCATATTTACAATGCGCATATTCACCGATTCGAGTATGGAAGTTGTCCCTGCTACTTTGAGTGTGCACAGGCAGCGCTACACCACTAGATCTTTTTTAACACCCGACTGCTCGAATCGAGTGGAGCCTCAGTACGACCACTCAGCGTCAGAGTCAGCAAACACTTTTGTTGCAGTGCCTTATTTGTGGCGGTAGTTGCCGAACGAGCAGCAATGACCCCAGACTGATCTCTTGCTGACGTCGATAGCCCCAAATTGATCCCGATCAAGCGCGTCGATAACACCAAAGGAAAATTGATTTTTAATAGCACAAATAGTGCTCGCGCGGATGCCACGAACCAGCCCGATGAGATACGCCACATTACAAGTGAATCTAATTGGTGTTCTTTGGATAACGGAATTTTTGATCGAAGCCCAGATTTCGTTCTTGGTTCTAAGGGAGCTATCACGATAGAATGCTCTCACAGATCGCAACCCGAGCTCAGTTAGAGATGAAATCTACCGTCAACTCACCGATCTTCGTATGAGTTGCCCCTCAGAGGTCGTACAGCTTACCGTAGACTTAAACGCGGGTCGGCTCACTTGAACTTGACGAATGCGAGCTCATTGATCAACGTGTCTTTGGTACTCCCAGGACAGTTTGTGTTGATCATGCTGTTTCATCTGTTGGCAGTCTTGGCACCAACTCGCCGCCGGAAGACTTACATCTCTTGCTCGATTGTAGACGCAAGCTAACCATCTGGGCATCAGTTACTGCTGATGAGGC